GAGTGCTACGCGTTGGCGGCGGGTTTGATGTTTTTCATTTCGCTGTCTTTTGTCGTGATGAGCTTCGGTGTGAAAACCCGTGATGAGAAATATTGTATATCTGCGCCTCAACAGAATAAAAAAAAAAAATGCAATCCTCTTGTCATCGATGTGACAATCATTCGCAGGGCGAAGCTGGCCAGTGAACAGAAACTCGCGAAGAAGGCGTCGTCGACGTTACGTGGTTGGTTCAAACCCAAACAAGCTGCCGCAGCCTCGCCCCCCGTCGCCAGCAGTACGCAAGCGAGGCAACAATTGGCGTGTGCTGGAGTCGCGTGTCTGGACGAGGTGAACAACGAGAGCCTTCCTGAACCGTCCAGCGCAGGCGACAACACCTTGGCCCCCGTCGCTACCGCTGCGGTAGACCCTGAAGTGCTGTGTGTGGATGAGGACAGCAACGGGAGTCGTGATGAACCACTCGACGACGATGACAACGGTGACAACGGCAACTTACCGGACTTCGGCCGTATCAACGATATCGACGACATCGAAGAGGTGGACGACGGGGAGCAGTCTATCGTCAACCTTCCTGTCCCATGCCCGGGGTTCAGACCTGGCCTCGTCGCCAACCCTCCTCTTCTCGGGTACCCGTTCGGGATTCATAGTCAGGATAGCGCAAAGTTAGCCTGGTTGGTACAACTAGACGGGACGGAGGTTCGCCTGTTCGCCAAGTCCGAAATCTACCGCGAAGGCTGCACGGGGAAGTCCCCTTCTGCCGGTGGGCCGTGCGAGCTGTGCGCGGAGTTGGAGTTTGACCCCAAAGTCCAGGGTGAGTGTCCGGCCGATAGCGGTCGTTTCTACCCTGCACCCATTGGCATTTGCAGCACCAAGGGATCCGTATGTTGCCGTCCGCATGGCATGCTCTAAAAAAATACAACCTAGCAGAGGTTTTGAGCAGAAAACTCGTTGTGGTATGTATTTTAGATCGTTGAGTGGTACCCAACCTACAAGCCTTTACCCAATCCGTCGCTGCCTTGCGAACCCTGCAATGTTTGCCCCAGGTTTGTTGACCCTGTTCGTCGATCGCCCGAGTTCGCACGTGCAGTGCATCTACGACCGAAGGCTATTTTTGGTTTATGGTGTATGCATTGTTGTACGACGTCCTCACGGGCGAGCGAGCGATAGGCGTGGCGGTAAGTTCTCCGTTGCCGCAGCTAACACCCCAACAAACACCTGTGTCGTCCGCTGCCCGGTGGAATTTCGTGTAGGGAGGGGGCTGGCATGCCTGGTGTTGGGCAATCGACGGAGCAGGAGGAGCAAACTCCAGGGGGTGAAGTGCAGCGAAGGGACCCGGGTAGCGTTTCCCAGGAGACCCCAACGTCGTCGACAACATCGACCGCAGCTAGTGCGCAGGGGGTAGAGGTGGACGCGGATACGGTGGTGGACCTCAGCAACACAGGCATGAGCGAGGCGGACGTCGACTGCCATGTCGAACCATTGCTAGAAGGCGTAGCCTCTGGGGCGTCAACTCCTTTCGACGCCTGGGTGGATATCGATGGGAAAGAGGTGTGTATGCTAGCCTGGTTGAGTGGTTACTGACTTTGGGATGGTTCTGTGGGATGGTTTGTGCCTGTCTTTGTCAACGTCCCCATTACTTGTCCCTCCACCCTCCTTTTTTGCAATTTTTCCTGGGAAATGCTCTTAAGATGTTCCGCGGTGATATCCCTGCTCTTGTCCCTCTTCTTGACGACGTCCGTAGGTTCACAAGACTACCGTCACACGGATCTTTTTGGGACCCGACGCCGCCCCGAGTTCCAACGACCGCGCTAGGCGCGTGAGGGGATATGGACGGGGTAATTCGGGGAGGGCGGCCGCGAACCTCTCGAAACAAGCACATGGAGGCGACGACATGTGGGCGGACGCTTTGATCGGGCAACCCTTCGCAACGTTGGCGGAGCTCGTGACGGGGAGCCACGCTCTCTGCATATTTGCCTTAACCAAAGGTGTTGATCGAACTGCGGGTAGTGCGCAGCTGCTGAGCGGCATTACGGTACGTTTGCGAGAGGCGGTCGGCAACGGCGCCAGTACCGACAACGTAGGTGCTCCCTCTGTGGAAGGTACCGAGCGTGGTGAGGGACAAGGTGGCGCGGAGACATCGTGGCGGTGGGATGGAGGAAGAACGCATGGTGGCAAAGAGTGTAAGATTCCGGCAGCACTGGCACTCCCTCTGAATCCCGGGTTCGGCGAGAGCGCGGAGAATGTCGTGTTTACGCTCGATAGTCTGAAGGCTGTGCTTCAAGCTCTTGAGATGTTGGTGGACACCACACCCGACGCCAGCTCGAAGGTGTTGAAAGCAAGACAAACATCTGCGGCAGACTTACCATACCATGAGTCCCTCAAGGGAGGCAGCCATACGCCGGACATCCCTAGCAGACTCGATTGTCTCCTTTGCGGCAGGTGTAGCATACCCGTCTTGGAGATGAGGCCCCATGTCTCTGCGCATGTTCTTAAAGCCCAGGTGCGGTTACCGTTTTCGTTCGGGAGGAGGAGTGGGGTGACCAAGGCCTTTGTGTGTATTTCGCTCTTCTTCGACTTCGGTAAGTTGGGGCAAACACGTCCATGCAGCGAACTTTCTTTTTCTGGCCCACTTTCAGTTCACCACATTTATTTGCTTCGTGCCTTGTTTTTTTGTCGCAGATGGACGTTGATGCAGGTCACGGCGCCGCGGAGATTTTGAACCCGGAGACGTGCTGTTTCTGCGGGCGGATCGGCACGTGCTCGAGCGCCTTGCGTGCTGGAAGCAGGAAAACCACGTCTGTGTGCACGTCTACGTGCCCCCATGCCCCCCGCGTGGGCGCCAAGGAGGTCATGGATGTTGGGATCCAGGTTGGGCAAGTGAAGAAGGTGTCAACCCACCAGCCATGCACCAACTTGCCCATGAAGTGCGAGTTGTGTCCGCCGGGCACCGTCCACGTGTGGAAGTATCTCATGCCCGTCCACATCGCTCAAAAGCATGGCGGGGCGAACGGTGTTCTTCAAGGCGGTTCTCCTGGTTTTCGAGCGAGCTACACTATTCCTGAGGGCGAGCGCAAGCAAGTCTTCGACCTGCTGGCCGTCGTTCCACGTCCGGGCGCCAGAAACTCCTCTACGGCCAGGACGCCCTCCAGGAAGCGGTCAGGCGATAACCACCAAGGAGCGAGGGGAACGGCGCGACCGCGAACATCCGAGGGTGGTGCTAGCGGCCATGTCGGTGGCAGCACCGCACGGGCAACAGGCCAACCTCGTCATGACGACGATGTTGTTTGGATTTAGGGATCTTGAGCAGCAGTGCATAACATGTGTTGCTCATTTTTAGTTTCGTTGCATCGGGAGGGTACAAGCACATGCTTTTTTTTGTGCTGTTAGGTCACTTTGATGCAAGCGGGTCGGGTGACTACGTGTTAAATCCATGCTCGTAGCTGCTGAAGCTGTTTGAGTGCAAAGGAACAGGCAGAGGGTAGAACCCGGTCCGGTGTGTCATGGTTCGCGCTGCATGCCATCTAGACTAAGTGGACTATTTTGTTTTACCATTCCTTGCTCCGGGAGCTCCGGATATGGAATACTCAGTAGACTATTTCCTTTCGTCAAGCCTGCTGTGATGACCGAACAAAAATAATTAATTCGTTTCGCGAGGAGGACGACAAAACACTCGCCGCCGATGATCTCTTCCCATTTTATCCACCATACATACAAAAATTCCCGTCGGCGGAAACTACTGCAAGTATCTACCTGCTGCTGCTGCTGTAGGCGTCGTGAACTTGTTTCTAATATCATACACGAACATACATTCGTAGATGACATACATGCTGTCTTTGGTACCATGCTGCTGGTAGAAATGATATGTTGAAGAAACAACAGCGTCGTCACTGGGTAATGATGTATGTATGTATGCAGCCTACGATGAACTAAACGCAGGCAGCAGGACAGGAGGATCACCCAGCCCGCAGCTCGTACTATTGTGGTATTATAATAGTAAGTAGCTGCCAACTGCCGATTGTTATGTCCCTTGAAGCTGTCTACATCACATTATATAGGGGGGAGGGGGGCAGGTATCGCCATATGTGTGTTGGTTCTGCAAGACAAGAGACTCTGAACGGCGTCCATGACCCGGTGCTAGCTGCTTATCCGATGTTAGAACTCATTCCACTCTAAAAGTCAATGTAACGAGGGAAATGACCTAAGACTGGCTGAAGCGTCCGAAAAAAATGGGTTGGGGGGGGGCGGGGGTAGCCGTGCATCAACCTGTGCACTTGAC